CGTTCGGCATTATAGGTCTTTATACATCTAGCCTTAGTGCTGGCATATCCATAACCTTCGATGCATATCCATACCCTTCGGGTCAGGATCAGCAAGCTAAAGCTACGGATCAGCAGAAATAGCAAGCTAAAGCTACTCTAAAGTTTATTTTCTATCCATATTTTATATATAAAAACTATTTAAAGAAATAGCGAGCTTTAGCTTTATGTAATAGCAGCCATGAAATAAAGCTTTTCTTTAAAGGGTAAATACTAGGAATCGAACCTAGAGCCTATTAAACCACAATTAATCGTTCTACCATTGAACTACATCTACCTTATATTTTTTATCCTGCGGTGATTCGAACACCGACTGTAAATACCAAAAATTTATGATCTACCCATTAATCAACAGGATATTAATGCTTGCTATTTCATACAGCTAAAGCTATTAAATTTTATTATATAGCTTTATTGCATAGCAGTGCTTTATAAAATAGAGCTATATTGCATAGCCTTCATACAGCTATATGAAATAGCTATCTATTTTATTCTTAAAGGACCTCCCTATTAAAATAAGGAGTGTTTTATTTCATAGAGCTTTATTGTATAACCTTCATAAAGCTACTCAAAATAGTATATAGGCTTCTATGAAATAAAACTAAAGCTCACTATTTATTTTTTCACGTTTATTTATTATAAAAACCAATAATTGTTATAGGTTAATATACAGGTAACACGACTTGAACGTGTATGATATTTCTATCCGCCGTACCTAAAACGACTTTGTCTGCCATTCCAACATACCTGTTTAATTAAATTGTTTCATTTATACTTTGTTTATACACTAAAGACATAGTATGTTATAAAAAGCTGCAATTTAGGACTTGCAGGATTCGAACCTACATTTTAATGATTAAAAGTCATATGCATTCACCATTATACTAAAGTCCCTTCCATTAAATAAAAGCTTAGCTTGCTATTTCATAAGCAAGCTAAAGCTTCTTATTTAAGGATTATTTATATTTTTTCATTTATAGTTTGCTGTAACTTCTGGCTGCTATGAAATAAAGCTACCGTGCTCATTTATAGCTATAGCTTTATGAAATAGCAAGCACTATTATTTGGATCTATTATACTATATAGTTCGTAATCTGTATTATTAACATGTCTATCGTCTGCGCATGAATTAAATACAATATTAAAGAACTAAAAATTTAAGTTAGTAGCTTTATTTTTTTAGCTTGCTATTACATAAAGCAAGCTAAAGCAGGAAATACCCTTAATATTATCTTTTTGATATGAAGGATTTAAAGACTTCTTCTTCAATTTTATTATATCATCCACCAATTTAGCCCTAGACTCATATAATGTACTGTAATTAAAGAATAGCTTTATTGCATAGCACTTACTTAGAGTAAGAATTAGATATTATAATTCCATGGTTATCTGAAAGAAGAATAGTACTCATTTGGTCATTTAATATTGCCATGCGAATAGAATAATCACAAATAGGTAGCCTTAGTTTTATTTCTGCTGCTCTGCATACTTCTGCTGTATTACGTAGAAGTATGCTACAGAAATAAAGCAGAAGTATGCCTGCATGGGCTAGAGACAAATCTGATACAGTTGGTATTATTTCCCTATTAGTACCAATATATTTATTCTGTATACGCACTTGAATATCTTCAAATTGAGTGTTTATGAAATAGCAAGCTAAAGCTATAGAAAATTCTTTTAATCTTTTAAAATCTACCTTATTTATGGTAAAGATAATATTTATTGTACACATAATGGTATTTTAATCAGGATAATAATAATCGATTGAAGGTCTTCAAACTTTTAAAAGAGTACTATTTGGTATAGTCTCTGCTTGGGTTAAATTAATACAACCTTTTTTTTTTATTTTATCTGTATCTCTAATAGATATATTATGTTTTCCGCTTAGAGGATGCACTACGAAGTACGAAGTACGAAGTACGAAGTACGAAGTACGAAGTACGAAGTACGAAGTACTACTAAAATAGTATTTTTTATAGCCTAGCATGCACGCATGCATGCCAGCCAGGAACAATGTACGTTCC